TCTATGTAAGTATTGCAAACTCCAAAAATTTGTGGAAGTCATATTTAGTGGATTTTGAAGAAGGTACCTCTATTTATACTTTACAACTGAGGCACAGAGTTGTTAAAAACTGTAATTAACAGTTAGGATTGGGTTCTCCAGGTAGTAACAAAGCCCTGAAAAACTATTCTTAAACAATAAAATGTCCTTATGTTCTTCAGAAAAGTCCAGGAGTGATCTGCTAGCATTCTGTGAATGCTAGAGTCTATATTCTTCTATTTCTCTGATACTCTTTCTTGGTGGTGCACTGGTTAAATGCTTAGCTGCTAGCTAGAAGATTGATGGTTGGAACCTACCAGTCACTCTGTAAGAGAACATGTGGCAGTCTGCTTCTTTAAAGAGTACAGACTTGGAAACCCAAAAAGGCAGTTCTGCTCTGTCCCACAGGGTCACTGTGAGTTGGGGTCTATTTGATGGCAGTGTTGTTGTTAAGTGTCCTCAAGCTGGTTTTGACTCACAGAAACCCTGAACTTCCGATCTTGTGGTTCACAGTCCATTGCTCAGCCTACAGTGCCGCACCAAGCAATAGGCTTGGGTTTTTGTTTGTTTGTTTGTTGCTTCTTTATTAATTCTTGCCAAGTCTAAGAGAGTTTGTCAGTCTCAATATATCACATTAGCAATCAAATCCAGGAAAAAGAAACAAATACCAAAAGGCAAGATGTTTTTAGAAAGGTTTTCTGAAAGTTGTAATGTAACGCATTGGCTTATTATCAACTGTGTGGGAGACTAGAAAATGTACACTTTATTTTAAGAGGACTGTATTGTGCAAAGTATAATGGTTTTTGTTTTGTAGATAAACTTCTAAGGTTTCTGTTAATGCTATTCATTGTGATAGTTGAAATTTATGGATTAACAGCTTCATATGTTGAGCTTTCCAATAGAAAATGATAATTAAATTGTTTACTGTTAGTATTCCTGTAGATTGTTTCCCCATATAGATCTAACACATTTATCTTATTCCTAGGTATTTTAACTATTTGTTTATTTTCTCTTTCATTTTATTTCCTAATTGTGTTTAAATATATAGTCTAACTTATTCCTACTGCCTAGCCATTTTTACTAGATTTTTTTTTTTCTTCTTCTAAATTACTTCTTCCATTTTTTTTCTCTTGGTGCTAGAGGATAAAGCACTGGACTACAAGGTTGATTTGATGCACAAGATTGGAGGTTCAAAGTCACAGTCACACTTTGGAAACCCTATGTAAGGTCGCTATGAGTTGGAACTGACTCAACAGCACTTAACAACAGCAACATTTAAAAAATATATACCGTCCTGGTGTGGCACTGTAGGGTAAGCACTGGACTGCTCACCATAAGGTCAGTGGCTCAAACCCATCACCTGCACCTCAGAAGCCCTATACGTAGTCGCTATGAGTTGGAACTGCCATCATAGCTCTTAACAGCAATCATATCATTTAAATGACTGTTTCTATGGTGCAATAGGTTAGCACTTTCTGCTGTTAGCCAAAAGGTTGGTGGTTCAAGCCCACCCAGGGACAGGTCTTTCTACTAGGAGTCCTGGGATGGCACTGTAGGATGAGCACTGAATCACAAGGTTGGTTTGAACAAGATTGATGATTCAAACCCACCAGTCACTCTGCGGATCCTATATAGGGTTGATATGAGTCAGAATCGACTCAAGGACTCTAAACAACAACAAGTCATACCATTTGCAAAAATGATACTATCACTTCCTTACTGCCAATTTTATACTTCTAATTCCTTTATCCTTGCTAATTTCATTGTATAGTACTTTCAAAGAAAAGAGAAATAATTGTAATGTTAGTGGTCATTTTATCTTATTTTTGGTTTTAAAAGAAACGTTCTTCAGTTTTCCACATTGAGCATGAATTTGGTATTTGGTAATGAAAAAATGTATCATTTGGTCAATATCCATTTAGTTATTTTTATAAAGCTGAAACACACTTTTTAAAAAGAGATCCAGAATACTTGTGCTTTTGATCAATTAACATCAATTTCCTCTACATTCTTTTCAAATTAATGTATCAGGAAAAATTTTAAAAATTAAATACTAGTTGGATGTTGGATAAATTAGGGATAAATCATTTCAAATCTGCTAAGGTTAGATAATCTGTACCAAACTTAATCTTCCAACGTAAAGTTTAGTTAGCATATGTACTTAATTATGCTGACTAAACTTTCCAGATACACAGTCTATTAATGAGGCCATCGTGTTCACTGTGTATAAAGAAAACCCAAAAAATAGTGGTTTAAAGGATACATAGTTGCTTTTCTCTGAGGTCAAATTGAGATGTAGGATTTCATGAATCCATAATCCTCTGGTACTCAGGTAACCTTCCAGTTTGCCATGTGCCATCATTCTTCAGATGATACACTAATGCTATGGGCCATGATAAAGTTTTAGTCATTACATCCTCAATTCAAGTAGCAACACAGAAAAAGGAAAGAGGAGGTATCCTTCTTCTTTTATCCTTTCTGGAAGTGTTGTTGTTGCTGTTTTATTAAGTGCCATTGAGACAGTTCCGACCCATTGTGACCCTGTATAGGGTTTCTGAGGGGTGACTGGTGAGTTTGAACTGCCGACTATGCAGTTCAAACCCGACTTTGCAGTTCAGTGCATTAGCCCACAGTGCCACACCAGTAGTGGACACCAGTTCTACTTATATACTGGTGATCAACACTAGTCACAAAGTTGTTTGAACAAAGAAGACAGAAAATATAGTTAGCATTAGTTATGGATGTATGTGTTTCCAGCTACAATTCGAACATTCTTTTACTGATGAAGAATAAAGAAAACATATTGCAAGGACTACAGTTTTTGCCAACAGGCTGACTTTCTTTTTTGGAATTGATTTATTGGATATACTTCAAGTTTATTTCTTAAGCAGAAGTTCTACTATAAGTGGAGCCTCCACATCTTTTTGAATACACCTTTACACATTATTGGAGCTCTTGTGGTACTACAGGATAAGAACCAGATGTTAACGGCAAGGTGGGAGTCTGTGTGAGAAAGATGAGGCTTCCTGCTTCTGTTCTAACAGAACAAGGGGATACTGACTGCTTTAAAATCAGTAAGGTGTGTGCCAGTGTTGTATTCTTTCACCATCATTCTTCAATCTGTATGCTGAGCAAATAATCCATGAAGGAGAAAGTGGCATCAGGATTTGAGGAAGACTCATTAACAACCTGCAGATGATACAATTTTGCTTGCTGAAAGTGAAGAGGACTGTAAATACTGACTGATGAAGATCAAAGACTATTACCTTCAATATGGATTGCAACTCAGTGTGAAGAAAACAAAAATCTTCACAACTGAACCAGTAAATAACATCATGATAAATGAAGAAAAGACTCAAGTTGTCAGTGACTTCGTTTGACTTGGATCCACAATCAATGCTCATGGAAGCAGCTGTCAAGAAATCAAACTATGTATTGCACTAGGCAAATCTGCTGCACAAGACCTATTTAAAGTGTTAAAGAGCAAAGATAACAGTTTGAACACTACGGTAAGCCTGACCCATGTCATTGTATTTTCAATATTCTCATATACATGTGAAAGTTGAACAACGAATAAGGAAGACTACAAGAATTGATTCATTTGAATTATGGTGTTGGAGAAAAATATCCAATGACCATGGACCGTCAGAGAACAAACAGGTTTGTACTGGAAGAGATAAAGCCAGAATACTCCCTGGCAGCAAGGAGAGCAAGACTTTGTCTCTCATACTTTGAGATTATTATCAGAGGGACCAGTCCCTGGAGAAAGACATTATGCTTGGTAAAGTGGCGAGTCAGTGAAGAAGAGAAACAACTCCAATAAGATGGGTTGACATTGTGGCAGTAGGAGTGGGCTCAAGGCTAGCAACCGTTATGAGGATGACATAGGACTGGGCAGTGTTTCATTTTGTTGTGCGTAGGGTCAATATGAGTCAGAGCTGACTCAATGACACCTAACAACAGACAAAGTTGAAACCCATTTGACGTTAGCAACTATCATACATTGTTTTTCCCCTAGAATCTAGAGATATTCAATGAAGTGCAACATCTGACTCTAGGAATCATATGGCTTCAATTTTCATATTTCAATAAACAATAAATATAGATAAGTAAATTAGAGATGGTTTTCTAAGTCCTTTGGTGAGAGACAAATTACTGAGTATCTGAAAGTTTTTAAGTAGGTACCTATGTTTAGAGATTTATTAGAAGTTCTCATGGGACTTAGTATTCAGTTTTACTGTGGTTAAGATTTATTAAAGCAATGTGAAGAGGACAAAGAGCAGAACTGTAAGAAAATAGACACAAGCAGAATGTTCAGATCGTCTCATGTGCTCTCCCTTTCATAAAGGACCACAGAGCACACTTTTTATCCAGCAATAAAAATGTAAAGAGATGTGTACAATTTCTTTATTACTGATCAGGTATTCAGCATACACCATATTTTTTGTTCAGTCTAGGTGCACTGAATCATTCTTGCTGGTTAACTGTGGATTGAGAACACCCTGACAACCAAAGACACCATTTGAGGGCAAGTTTTGCAAGCAGCTGGTCCTAAGGGTAAGGACTGGACTCTGAGTCAGCTTGCTAACTCTTTTCCTGCAAAGATAATTAAATGTCCATAACTTAAAATTTTTTGAAGAATAAGGACAATAGAGTGCTCAGTTTAAAGGCTATAAGAAAAAGAATATAAAAGCAATAGTTATTTTAAACATGTATTGAATGCATTTACTCTTACAGTATTGACATTTTCAATATTTTTTCAAACATTTTATGAACAATGAACTATATTGGCAATGTTATTTAATGAAAGAAACACTATATTTTTGTTGGTAAGGAATTCCATCTTTATTCTATCATCTCCAGAATAAAGATAACAAAGTCCTGATAGGCTGGGCTATAAAAAAACAAAAACAAAACAAAGACTACTTTTTTTCATTTCCAAATAAAAGCTGCGGAATATCTCAGTTCCCATCTTTGGCACAATGGCTTTCCTTCTTTCCTGGGCCTCTGTGCTATTTGGATGCCTTTATGCTTCTGTAGCAGGAGCGTCCAATCTCTCAGCTCTCTATCCCCCTCTATGGGATGAGAGTCCTGGCCAGTTCAGTGACTACAGGGTGGAGAATGGACAGTATGTTATTGATCCCTGGGTATACACTGAGAGAATGGGAATATACAAAATCCTATTGAATCAGACAGCCAGATATTTTGAAAGATTTGCACCAGAAAATGAACAAAATGCTTTATGGGGATTGCCTCTACAGTTTGGATGGCAATATGAGACAGGTAAGTATAGCTCCCTTTTTCTTTATGAAGGCCTTCTAATATATTCATGAAAAAATTGGCAAATGAAACTCTGTATATATTATATCATGTGCTCTGAAAATGGATTCTTTCATTGTTTTTTCCCCTCTATTTTGAACCTGAAAACCATTACTTTTCTCACTCTCCATAAATCCCTCTTTAATGAGTTGACACTTTCTACTAGAAATGACAGTAAGGGATAAGACATAGGTACAGACTACAAAAGGACTGTACTGACAGAAGAAGGGATATTTAACTTTGCTTTAGTGTTAAGACACAGCACAACACTAGGCATGTTCCTTTGAGATGAAAATAAACCAAATAGTATATAAGCTGCATAGCATTAAGACAATATTTCAAAGTATAATGTGAGTAAACTCTTTAAGGGAGTATGCAAAACAAAATAAGTTGGGTACTGTAAGGAAGATACCTAATCCCCAAAGGAGATGAAAAAGAAGGAACAGAGGAAGAAAAAAATCTCAGATTTATCTTTAACTCAAATTTAGTAGTCTGAGAAACATTCAATTAAGAAGTATAAACAGTTAATATTTATATTAGTTATCAGCACTAACAAGTTTTTCAGTATCACAGCTTTGAGAGTAAGCAGGAAAAGAAAAGCTGAGTGGACCTGAATAATGGGATTAAAAGGAAGGAACGGAACATATGTGTGGAAAGCAGATAAGCAGAATTGGCACATGAAGAGCATGAGTGTAGAGGAATGTAAGGAAAGGAAAGTGATTGTACAAGAGACAGGATAGTAAGAAAAGGGAAAATGCAACATATAGTTTAGTAGAAACCTGAGGTCAAAGACATGGTTAAAGAAGTAGGTGAGAATAAACCATGGATTAATTTAGGTGGAAACAAGGAAAACAAAAGGAGGTTTCCAGGAGTGGAGAGAATAAATTGTAGATGAGCTAGGTTAACAACAACAAAAAAGATCAAGACGCACTGTTCTACGGGAGGGGGAGAATTAGAATATAGAATCAAAAGAGATAAACAAAAGATGAACTAGGAAGATTGGAAACTATTCTCTGGTGAGAACAAACAATATTTGCTAATATTGATGGAACACATATACACAAAGGTGAAAAAAACACACAAAACTTCATTATTTTTCTCACTTGACATTATTATTCAATTTTATGACATAACTGACATTATTCCTGTTTTATAGAGGAAGATACTAAAGTATAAGAAGTTAAGCTATTTAGCCAAGGTAAAACTAGTAAATGATGGAGCAAGGAATTAATGTAACTGTACTCACCCATTGCTGTTGAGTCAATTGTGACTCATAGTGACTGTTGTGCAGAGTAGAAGTGTTCTCTAGCATTCCTAGTGGTGGTGGTTGTTGTGGTAGTATGCTCTCAAGTAGGTTCCAATTTATATAGAGTTTCCAAAACTGTAAATCTTTGCTGGAGCATAAAGCCTCATCTTTCTCCTGCAGTGACTGGTGGATTCAAACTGCTCACTTTAAGATTAGCAGTTCTATGCATAACCCACTTATGCTAAATAGGCCCCTTAGGGTTTCCTAAGGGCTATGAATCTTTCTGGAAGCAGAAAGCCTTATCTTTCTTCCATGGAGCAGCTGGTGGATTTGAATCACCGACCTTGTGGTTAGCAGTCAAATGCTTACCCCATTCTACTACTAGGGTTCCTTGATTTGGCTCTAGATCCCTTTTAATATTTTTGCATATTGATTCCATAGTACCCAAGGGATTTATAAAACGAAGTAAAGGAGACAATAATTACAAAAACAAATGATTAAAAAGAAGAAAAAAAGTGGTGTTTTCAGGGAAAGAAAAAAACATTAAGATGGCAAAGAAAGACAAAGAGTGATAAGAAGACAAATGCAAACCATTTCAGATGTAAGGGCTTTGTGTATTTTTAAAAACAAAATGCATCTAGTTATGTAAAAATGATAAGCAGTTCTAAAGTAGACATGATCAATATAATGGTGTATCCTCTCTCTTCTAGGCAGATTAGCTGACCCCACCCACACAACAAACTGTGGCTATACAGAAAATCATCTCTGCATCTCTGTGGACAGTTGGTGGGCCAGTAAGTTAACCGAAATAGTAAAACAGAAAATTACCTACCTTCTCAAAAATAATGTATTGTACCTAAATTCTTAAGTACAGAGACAAGTACTTGATTATGGTTGTAAGCATGTTTGAAAATTAGACTTGCAGATAATAAAATTCAAAATATCTCTTTATCAAAGCTATAATTACATTAGAATGTTTTAGGAAAATACACATTTTAAAATAATACTTGTATATCAACATAAAGTTTTGTACCATTTTGTGGACAAATCTGTAACTTTCTTCGTAGTTTATCTAATGATTTGAAAAAAAAAATTGAAAATTTCCAAATTACTTAAAACTATTTTGTGCTTAAAATATTATAGTTCAAATGATTAAATTTAAATTATATTAAAATATAAACTATACATGTTAATTGATTATGATATTTGAACTATATTAAATTAAAATAATATTAAAATATCATAGTTAAAATATTATGCTTTAACCTCTACTTATTCATAATTATTAGTATTAATAGAAGCATGTTAAAGTTAGGCATGATTTTTAGGAGGATTTGTATTCAATATTTTTTTGTGGCCTCATTTTTTATCCCATTCTGGATCAGTGAGTCTTTTTTTCTTAATGGTTTACAGTTTTTTCAAAACATCCTTGTTTAACATTAGGCAATTAATCTAGGTACTACACCACACAAATCGAACAAATGAGAAGAGCCACATGATCATCTCAATTAACACAGAAAAGGCATTTGACAAAACCCAATATACTTTCATTATTAGAATACTCCACAAGAATGAAACAGAAGGGAAATTCCTCAATATGATAAAGGACACTAATGAAACGTACACAGCTAACATCATACTCAGTAGAAAAAGACTGAGGACTTTCTTAACATGAGGAACAAGACAAGGACGCTCACTCTCACCAATATTATTGTACTGGAAGCCCTAGCCAAAACAATTAATCAAGAAAAAAGAAATAAATGGTCCAAATTGAGTAGGTAGGACTTAATCTACTCCTTTTAGTAAATTACATGGTTCTATAAGTAGAAAACCGTGAAGGTTTTACAAGAAAACTATTAGAGCTAATAAATGAATTAAACAGAATGGCAAGATAAAGATAAGCTCAAAAGTCAGTTGAGTTTCCATATACTAACAAAGAGAATTCTGAAAAGTAAATTAAAGAAAAATGTACAATAGCATCTAAAAAAACCAAAACAAAACCCAAAGAATAAATTTAAGACTTGTATACTAAAAACTATAGAACATTACTGAAAGAAATTGAAGAAGACCCGAATAAATAGGAAGACATTCTATGTTCATGGATTTGAAAACTTAACATTGTTAAGGTATCAATATTACATAAAGCAACTTATAGATTCAATGAAGTCCCTATGAAAATTTCAACAGCCTTCTTTGAAGAAATAGAAAAATTAATCTCCAATTTATACAGAAAACAGCAAAGAGCCCTAGATAGCCAGACTCACACTTGAGTAGGACTTTCCACTTCTCAATAAGTCACAATTATCAAAGCAGTCTAGTGCTAGAATGATGATTGACATAGAGACCAATGAATAGAATTGATATTTAATTAAAAACAAAGCAAAACAAAACTGTACAGTGATAGTCAATTGATTTCTGACAATAAAAAGAAGTCCACTCAGTGGAGAAAGAAGAGTTTCTTAAAAGATTGTGCCAGAACAACTGGATTTCCACATACAAGGGAATGAATTTGAACCCATATTTCACATTAGATATGAAAATTAACTCAAAATAAACCAATGATTTAAGTGTAAGAACTAAAATTATGAAACTCTTAGAAGAAAATATGGGGGTGATGCTTTGGGACCTAATTTTTAAAAAATGGTCTGCTCTATATGACATCAAAAGCATGAGCCCCAAAAGACAAAGTAGATAAATTGAGCCATTGAAACAAAACAAAAACTTTGGGGCATCAAAGGGCTTTATCAATAATATGAGGACCCACACTATAGATTAGGAGAAAAACTTGGGGAGTCACAGAGAAGGGGACTTCAAAAAAATTATGCAAAATGGAATGAAAAGATAATCAATTTTTTCCATGAAATATTTGAAGCCACCTTGACTCTCTCTGATCAAGATTTGATATTTGGAATATTTAAAGAGCTCCACAAACTTAACAACAAAAAAGAAAAATAACTGAATCAAAAAAAAAAGCAGTCAAAGAAATCAAATACCCATTTCACCAAGGGATAACCAAAGGGCCAATAGGCACATGGAAAGATGCCCTAAATCATTAATCAGTAACCCATTGGTGAGGATTTGATTCTAACTCATGATGACCCTGTAGGTCAGGGAAGAATTCTACCATAGGGTTTCCCAAGACCATAATCTTTATAAAAGCAGACGACCATACCTTTCTCCTGAAGAGTGACTGTTAACTGTTGAACAGTTAACCACTGTACCACCAGGTCTCCCTTTAATCTTTGTTGTTTTTGTAGGCCATGGAGCCAGTTCCAGAACATATCTGGTGGGTTTGAACTGTCGTCCTTGCAGTTTTTGGTTTAGCACAACAGAGTTCCTTTAATTTTAAGGATATGCAAAGGAAAACCACAATGAGATACCACTGTATTACTAGAAGAAATACTGTGAGGAAAAAAGCAGAAACTAGCTGATGTAGGCAAAGAGGTGGAGAATTGGAACACTCATTCATTGCTAGTGAGGATGAAAAGCGGTACAATTGCTGTGGAGAACAGTTTGGTGGTTCCATAAGAGTTGAACAGAGAATTACCATATAACCCGGCAAACCCAATCCTAGGTACATACCCAAAAGATGTGAAGGGAAGAGCACAAACAGAAGCATGTCCACCAGTGTTCATTGCAGCACCATGCCCTGTTACCCAAGAGGTGTAAACAGCCTAAATGTCCATCAACAGATGAATGGATAGATAAAATATTTATAGTCATACTCAACCATAAAGAGAAATTAAGTTCTGCCATATTCTACAACATCCTGCTGACTGAAATAAGTCAGTTACAAAAGGTCAAATCATGGATTATTCTACTTACATAAAATAGACAACCAAAGTTTATTAGTGGTTACCAGGGATGAAAGAGAGAGGAGGGAGGGAATTTCTGCTAATTGTGATGCAATAGCTTGGAAAGGGAATAGTGGTTATAAGTTTGATGTTGATATTAATGTCATTGAATTTATCTGTAAAAAATATTTAATTGATAAATGTTTTTTATGATAACATATTACATACATCTATGTATATATATGTATATGTGGTAATAAAACAATAAAAAATATCCTTGGACATTTGCTAGTGCTTGTGGCAATAATCAGTGTCTTGCTATTACAGGTATCAATTATTTTCTGAATGTGTTACCTTTCCTTTCTGCGGTTGATTCTGATGTGATGGGGATATCATCCGACCAAGTCGCTCTTCTGCCACCACCCAAGGATCAGACACCATTTTGTTTAAGTGTTTCTGCCTGTCGTTTATTGTATCCAATAACAATGAACAAGTGGAATTACTTTTACCAGGTTCCTTCTTTAAGATTTATAATTTATTCTCTTGAGAAGTAGCAAGAGAACTTTGTCTACTGTTGATTGAAGGCATAGTACATTCTTTTACTTAGTATGAAAATGTAAGGTTTCATGTAATAAATATAGAAGGGCATTATGTGTTATCAACTCTTTCCCAGCACAACATTAACATAAAATTGATTTCCTCTTCTTACTATAAATAAATTATACACAAACCTACAAGCTCACAAAATACCTTGCTGAATGGAGATTACTCTGATTAATTTAACTGCAGGCCAATTAAAGAATCATTATTGTTGTTAAGTGCCAAGGAGTCAATTCTGACTCATAAGTAGCCTATATAGGGTTACTAAGGAGCAGCTGGTGGGTTTGAACTGCTGATTTTGTGATTCTCAGTCTAATGCTGATCCTAGAGGTCCATACCATAAGTCCAATTAAGAATAAACCTTAGGAAAAAATGTGATTGTGGAAATTATCATAGAGCAGTTTACCAAACATTGAACTGTCAGAATGAAACATATCAGTTAAAATAATTCATGGAGTAAGATTAATGAAAAATTAATTTACTGATTCTTTAGCTATTTGTTCATTATTTTGGTGGTTGTGGTGGTTGTGTGCCATCAAGTTAGTTCTGACTCAAAGTGACCTTGTATAAGGTTTCTGAGGCTGTAAATCTTTATAGGGGCAAAAGCCTCATCTTTCTCCTGAGGAGCATCTGGTAGATTTGAACTACTGACCCTGCAGTTAGCAGTCCAGCTCTTTATCCACTATGATATCAGGACTCCTTGTTCATTAATTCAGGTGTGATTAAATTGCATATTATAACAAGATTTTTTCCTGCTTCTTATTCTTTAAGATTTTGTGGCAATTTTAACAAAAATAAATGACAAAAATAAAGATCTCTAGACCATTATAAAACAATCACAGTTCACTTCTTCTAGGTGTATAATTTATAACTAATAATATTAATATGTTTATGACTTTTACAGAGTGTTAGACATTCAAGTCTTACATAAAAATAATTCTTAGAAACAGTTAATTTCTCCTCTTGAGTAGAATATTGCTAAATTATACAGTCAGTAAGATTCAGTTTCAAGGAGAAGAATTGTAACAATTGCTCAAATATTAATATGATTCGTCTTTTGTTTTAGCAACTGAAGTTACCTTCTACTGACTTTAATGAACTGTTGGAGTACTTATGGGAAGCACATACCTCAACCTTGAATGATGTTCTTGGAATATTTGAACCTAGGTAAGAATGAACCCAAAGTCATTTCTATCTAATGACAAATGATTTTGGGCTGTGTTGTGATTTTTTCTTCTTTTGCCTGGATCTTCCCAATAAACAATAAATCTAACCATTTAGGATTATATGACGAGGTGTAAACATTTTAGTATGATCAAGCTTTAAAGGTGCTTTTGGAAGAGGGGACAAAAGTTTGAGGTAAGATAAAAGTCTCACCAAAACATAAACAAATAAAATTGAAATGAAATTTTGTATCTGTAGAAGATGAAATAAAAATATAAATATTTGGATTATCTTAATTCTTCTATTCACAGACACGTAACATGTTGGTAAATATTGGGGAAGCAGTAAGTCATATCAGTGTTAGCACAGATGGCAGCCTAGATCATCAAGTCCTCTATATATACTGTAACACCCAGAGGTAAAAGTATAAAAATAATTTGAGTTTTAATACAAATAAAACTATATAGGGGTGAAGTTAACCAATTAAAGTGAAGTGGAGGGTAGAAATATGGGTAGGACAAATAGCAGGGACCAAGAAAGGAAAGATGATTGTTATTGTGTGAGTTGTTATTAGGTGCTGTCGAATTGATTCTGACTCATAGAGATCCTATGAACAATAAAACCAAACACTGCCTGATCCTACACGATCCTCACAATTGTTGTTACATTTTAACCATTATTGTTGTCATTGTATCAATCCATCTTGTTAGGGGTCTTTCTCTTTTTCACTGATCCTTCACATTACCAGGAATGATATCCTTTTCCAGTGACTGGGCCCTCCTGACAACAAATCTGAAGTATGCAAGATGAAGTCTGACCATTCTGGCTTCTAAGGAGCAATCGGGCTGTACTTTTTCAACACAAATTTGTTTGTTCTTCTGGCAGTCCATGTTACTTTCACTATTCTTTGCCAACATAATTCAAATGCATTGATTCTTCCATGGTCTTTCTTATGCATTGCCCAACTTTCACATTCAGTCGAAAATACCATGACTTTGCTCAGGCATACCTTCGTCCTCAAACTAATATCTTTGCTCTTTAACACTTAAAAGAGGTCTTTTGCAGTAAATTTGCTTAATGAAATACATCATTTGATTTCTTGATTATTACTTCCAGGAGTGTGGATTGCTGATTCAAACAAAATAGAGTCTTTAAAAATTTTCAATCTTTCTCCATTGATCATGATGTTATTTATTGGCCCAGTGGTGAGGATTTTTATTTTCCTTATTGAGGTGCAATCCATACTGAAGGTTCTAGTCGTTGATCTTTATCAGTATTTTAAGTACTCTTTGCTTACAGCAAACAAGATTTTACCATCTGTATAAGGTAGGTTATTGATGAATCTTCCTCCAGTCCTGAAGCCACATTCTTCTTCATAGAATCCAGCTTCTTGGATTATTTGCTCAGCATACAGCTTGAGAAAGTACGGTGAAAGGATACAGTCCTTTCTTGATTTTAAAACGTTCATTATACCCTTGTTCTTTTCGAATGCCTGTCTCTTGGACTATATACAGGTTTCTCATGAGCACAATTAGGTGTTCTGGAATACTCATCTTTCACTATTTTATCCATAGTCTGTCATGAGCCACACAGTTAAAATCCTTTGCATAGTCAATAAAACACAAATAAACATCTTTCTGGTATTCTCTGCTTTAGCTTCTCTAAGCTCAAGGGCAAATGAGTCTCTTCTGACATCCATTTTGTTCCTTTGTTTCTTGTTTTTTTTAATGGTCTTTTGCTTTCTACATAGATGATATTCTTAATGTCATCTAACAACTATTCTGGTCTTTGATCATTAGTACCCAATCTATTCTTGAGGTGGTCTCTAAATTCAAATGGGATATATTTAAGGTCATGCTTTGGCTCTTGTGGACTCTTGTGGACTTGTTTAAATGTTTTTCAACTTCTGTCTGAACTTTCATATGAGTAATTGGTGGTCTGTTCCACAGTTGGACCCTGGCCTTGTTTTGGTTAATGATACTGAGCATTTCCACCATCTCATTCCATAATATAGTCAATTTTATTCTTGTATTTTCCATCTGGTGAGGCCCATGTGCATAGTCATCTTTTGTTGTTAATGTATTAGTAAATATGTAAATTTTGATAGGAAAGTTTGAGTATTTAATGTTCCACTGATTCTTTAATTGGCAAGATAATTTACTCAATAAATCTAAAACATTTCCTGCTGTATGAATTAAATGGCTGCCTCCGCTGGTTATTAATTTGTGCCAGGGAGGAGCTTACATGTTGACATTGTTTGTGAGATCATTTGTATTTACAGTCATCTCAATAAATATGCAAGTATTTCAATTGCTCTATCTATTCTGATGACAGGAAAAAATTATGAGATTTTCATACATGGCTTTCTAGTCCAAATTGTTAATCTTTTGATCAATAGCAAGTCATCATAACAGATTATTCTTTTTTTATTTACTGACCTTTCAAGTTCATACTAAAAAAAATAAACTACTAGTAAACACAACTTTACACATAGGTATCAAAGCCATTGCCATGGAGTTAATTAGACCTGATAATGACTCCATAAGACTGAGTTGCTCCATAGGTCTTCTGAGGCTGTAATATTTGCAGAAGCAGACTGCCACAACTTTCTCCCGTGGATGGTTCGGTGACTTTGAACCACTGACCTTTTGGCAGCTAAGCACTTAACCATTGAGCTACCAGGATTCTTCATAGGAAACATGTTGTTGCTGTTAGGTGCCATCGAGTCGGTACCTACTTATGCACAACAGAATGAAACCCTATGCACAACAGAATGAAACATTGCCTGGTCCTGAGCTAACCTCACAGTTGCTGCCACACTGAGTACATTGATGCTGCCACTTTGCCAATCCTTCTCGTTGGAGATCTTCCTCTTTTACTCCGACCCTCCTTTTTAACAAACATGAGATCCTTCCTTCTCCAGTGACTAGTCACTCCTGACAATATGTCCTCTGCTGAATCTGGCTTGAACCTCTGGAAGTTCTCTGTCAATGTATGGTTACAGATATTTCTGTTTTACCTTTAGTAAAACTTTACTTTCATGCATATCAAAGATATTGCCTGATGAATTCCGCATTTTGTTGGGTCACCTCTCTTTGGAAAGGGCACAAATATGATCTCTTCTAATCAGTTGGTCAGATAGTTGTTTTCTAAATTTCTTGGCATAGATGAGTGAATGCTTCCTGTGCCACCTCGTTTTCTTGAAAGATTTCAGTTTTTCTTCCATTAATTCCCTAGGCCTTGTTCTTTGCCAATTCCTTCGATGCACCTTGGACTTCTTCTTTCAGTATCATTGGCTCTTGATCAGATACTACCTCTTGAAATGGTTAAATGTCCACCATTTCCTTTGGATACATTGACTCTGTGTATTCCTTCCATCTTCCTTTGATACTTTCTGCATCATTCAACAATTTCCCCAAAGAATCCTTCAGTAATGAAAGTCAAAGCTTGATTTTTTTTCTTCAGTTCCCTCAGCTTGAGAAATGCTGAGTGTGTTCTTCTCTTTTGGTCTTCTAACTCCAGATCTTTGCACATTTTGTTTTAACATTTGACTTTCTCTTCTTAAGATGACCTTTGAAATTTTCTGTTCAACTCTTGAACAGAAATGGGAGGTCCTCATTTCTTCCATTTGCTTTAGCATCTTTATGCTGGAGAGCAAGTTTCAGTGTCTCTTCTGTCATCCATTTTGATCTTTTCCTTCTTTCTTATCTTCTTAATGACTTTTTGCTTTCTTCCTGTATGTCTTCTTCCTGTATGTCTTTCTTCTTGATGTCATCCCACAACTCTTATTATCTTCAGTCTTTAGAGTCTAATGTACCAAATCTGTTCTTCAAATGAGCTCTAAATTTATGTGGGATATATTCAGGGTCATATTTTGGCTCTTGTGGACTTGTTTTCATTTTCTTAAGTTTCAGTTTAAATTTGCATATGAGCAATGGATTGTCTTTTCCACAATCTGCTCCTGGCCTTGTGCTAGCTGATGATATGGAGCTTTTCCACCTTATCTTTCCACAGATGTAGTCAATCTGATTTCTATGTATTCCATCTGGTGAGGTACATGCACATAGTTGGTCAGCAGTGTGGCAAGACCTGGGGACATAGCCACAGAAGACTAGAGTGGAGAATGAAGCGTCCAGCTGATAAGTTGAGAGGGCATATGCACAAGAACACCCACACTTGCAGATAATACCTACTTGACCAGGCTTCAATGGCTGGATGATCAGAACTCAACTTGAAGAAGAAAGAAGAAGAAGAAAAAAGAATCATCTGATACAATTTGATGACCTTGACCTACACCTATGGATGCAGTAGCTCAAAAGAGGGAATAAATCTTTATAGCAAGGATCATCCCCACTCCCATGATACACAGAATATTTGAAATGAACAAATTATTGGTTTTGCAGATCCTAAAATGTGATCTCCAGCATCATTTCTATCACCAAGGCCATATTTTCCAACTACTAATCCTTCATCTTTATTTCCAACTTTTGTATTCCCTTCGACATTGATTATCAGTATATCTTGTTTGCATATTTGATTAATTTCATATTGAAGAAGTAGGTAGAATTCTTCTATTTTATACTTACTAGCTTTAGTGGTTGATACGTATAATTGAATAATAATGGTATTAACTAGTGTTCCCTGTAGACACATGCATGTTATTCTTTCACAGACAGTGTTGTACCTAATGACAGATCTTGATATGTTCTTTTTGACGATGAATGCAACACTATGCTTCTTCAATTTGTCATTTCTGGCATAGTAAACCATGAAGTTGTCAGATTAAGAATGGCCAATACTAGTCCATTTCAGCTCACTAATGCCTAAGATGTCAATGTTTATGCATTCCATTTCATTTTTGACAAGTTCCAATTTTCCTATATTCATACTTCTTATATTCCATGTTCCGATTATTAATGAATGTTTACAGCTGTTTCTCTTCATTTTGAGTTGTGCCCCATTAGCAAATGAAAGTCCCAAGGGCTTTATTCTTGAGGGCTTTACTCCATTCACATCATCATGGTCAACTCTAATTTGAGGAGGCAGCTATTCCCCAGTCTCATTTTGACTACGTTCCAACCTGAGGGACTCTTTTCTGGCATTATATCTGACAGTGTTTCTCTGTTATTCATAAGGTTTTTAATGACTAAATATTCTGAAGTTTGTCTCTACTTCTTCCTAGTCTGTCTTCATCTGGAAGCTCATCTGAAACTTGTCTTTGATAGGTGGTAAAAATTGATGCATTTGTTAAAATCAGCAATGTAACTTAAAAATTGCTTTGTGGTTTCTTTTATTCTGATCATTTCCTTTTGTAGTTTATTAAATTGAGACCATTTCAGGTAACTTAACTTATATTTTGGATAATTTACTATTCTTTTAAAAAATATTTTATTGTGAATTATGAGACAGTTCACATGGGAGTACATTAGCTTTACATTCATCCTATTATATATCATTTCATTGCCATGGTTACAATCCCCTCCATGCACCATCAAACAACCAAAGGGTATACCCTGCAAGCCTGCCCCTCTGTCCTCAGCACACAGCCCTTCTCCCTCTCTGGGTCTAGAGTCCCCAGCCACTCCATCTCGCTATGTCATCATATCTGCCTCCATCTCCGGCTTCACTGGTTCCCTAGGTAGGGTACTGCACCCTGCTCTTCTCCCTTGATGGTCCTGGACACCACCACTCCTGGACTGCAAAGTTAACCACTCCCCTCCTTTTGTTACGAAACATCGACCTTTACATTTCCAACCCTCACAGTCAGTCCTGATAGCAATTATTCACTATGGTACCACAAGAGTCCTATTCCCATCTTCTTTCATCAGCCCTATCCTGACAGATTGCATACTATTCAGTGGAGTTTCTACCTTCCTTCGCACCCTCTGGATCTAGACTCCCTCTTGAAAGCTGGTAAGCCAGTCACTTCTTGCCTTTGTATCCCCCTCCCCCATTTAGGGTAGCCAGTGTCTCTCTCAGTTGCCCATCCATGTCTACCCTGTGTATCATGGGAGTGGGAATGATCCTTGCTGTAAAGATTTATTCCCTCTTTTGAGCTACTGCATCCGAAAGTGTAGGTCAAGATCATCAAATTGTATCAGATGATTCTTTTTTCTTCTTCTTCTTTCTTCTTCAAGTTGAGTTCTGATCATCCAGCCATTGAAGCCTGGTCAAGTAGGTATTATCTGCAAGTGTGGGTGTTCTTGTGCATATGCCCTCTCATTTTATCAGCTGGACGCTTCATTCTCCACTCTAGTCCTCTGGCTATGTCATTGACTCTGGGTCCAAGAGTCCCCAGGTCTTGCCACACTGCTGGACAACCAGGTCTCCACTTGGGTTCACTGGAGTCTATTGAACATGGTAGAAGTTAGCTCACAGCTTCATTGTTGTTTTTCCCTCACTTCCCCTTATTGGTGACCAACGTTGTCAACAGTCAGGATAATTTACTATTAAGTAAGGCCAAGAATACAAGTTTTTTGCCAATCTAACACTAGACATTTAAAATATATTTGCTCTGACTATTAAAATCCCTGTGAAACTCACCTTAGTGGACCAATTTTCAGTCAAGAAGAAAGCAGGTAGATAAGGAGACAATAAAGTAACACTGGTATGGTATGCTCATCATGGAATATAGCCAATGATTCAAGATTAAAAGGGCAACATTTACCTAGCAGACAAAGTTGAGAAGGATGGAAAGGAAGGTGGAATGAAAATAGATTCACAGGGAGGAAATGGGGTAACTGTTGTTGCATGGAGCCAGGGAGTGGATTTCAGTAATTGAAATGAAACAATGTGCATGATCCATTGTTTGTAAAACTGGTGATATTCTCTGTAAACATTCATTTATTCACATTGTTAAGCTTTTTTAAAAAAAAAAGAATGTGGAGCAAGGATGATGGAAGTGTAAACTATTAAAGTTACTCTGGAAAATAATTCTATGTTGTTGTTGTTAAGTTCCATCCACTTATTTCCAACTCGTAAAGGCCCAGTATAGGATTTCCCAGGATATCTAATAAAGTTAAAGTTTTTTTTAAAGAATCCTTTGAAACCCTCTATTGATGGGAGGTAGGTATTTTGATGATGATTGTTCTGGAGTATTTCAAACAGCTCTTTGTGAGGTCTCTCATTTGTCCAGTTAAACAAATTTGTTTTCAAAGGCCATTGATTGTTCCTTGAGATAAAGTTGTTTATGCTAGATTAAGATCTTGAACTTTGGAGTTCAACACATATGAACATATGAAGTTCTAATATGGACTCAATTTGATCTGGGTAGCCAAACACATACAAGAAACATTTAGTATAAAATAATTCTTTTAATCAAGAGAGAAGTCAGGAGAGGATATTAATTAAAAATATGGGCTTTAAATCCAGATTGTTATTCTTGTTGTTAAGTGCTGTCTAGTTGGTTCTGCTCATAGCGACCCTTTATAGGGACTCTAATATTTTGGAGATCTTATCAGAAGGGATCAGTCCCTAGAGAAGGACATCATGCTTGGTAAAGTGGAGGGTTGCAAAAGGAAAGAAGACCTCCAAGTAGATGGATTGGCACAGTTGCAGGAGCAAAGGTTCAATTTTAATAACAATAGTGAGGTTGGTACAGGACTGGACAATGTTTTGTTCTGTCGTGCATAGGATTTCTATGACTTGGCACCAACTTGATGGCACCTGACAACAACATATTAAATCTGGCTTACTAGATGAACTAACATGAAGCAGACAGTTCAATTGAAGTATGTCAAATAAAGGCTGCCAATTAAAGCAGTTGACATTAACTGGATGTCAAGTCTGCTTATATGCCCATTTGTCTTAATATGGTACCACATTGCTTCCCTCCTCTTTCACTGTTGCTGATCCCTTTGAAATTTGTGTTAACACCATGTTAGCAGTAAAGTTTGTTGAATATAGTGACTTGTGCAAAATCCTTAAGGATTCACTTTACTTTTTATCATTTTGTGATAGTCACCTGTGATGTATTACAGAGCGTTGATTCCAAAAGAAACTCTTCTGTAATCACATATTGATTTGACCCACTATATCACTTCTGGGTGCAGCGCCATGGAGTCAAACAGCAAGTGTTTCCTCTAGATTATGTTATGTTTTGCTTATCATTAGAAAGCATCTTCTGTTTCATCACCTCAGATAAGTAGTGTGGAAACAAAGGAGAATGTAATCTAATGTCTAGAAACCATAGTAACTTTGTGAGTGCTATGATGCTATTTGAATATAGAGGAAGAATTGACCCATTCCACCTAGGGGGACTGGAAAGTCTCATGGAGGCCATAACATATATGTCTTCAAAACAATCTAAGGATGTACACAGGTGAGCAAAGAGGGATGTAAACCGTGTTCCCAGGGGATCAAGTATATTTGTGAAATTTCCATTTGTTCAGTATGCTTACATGATGGTGACATCATCAGTGATATACTGCAGTTATAAAGAGGTTTGTATACTCTAAATTTTAAGCTTTAAGGATTTTCCCCAAATATGTGAAAGAGTTTAGAAGACTTTCTTAAAGTACTGACAGACTTCCTCTAGAAGAAAGAAAAGAAACAAAACACAAAAACCACACAAATATTTAGAAAATCAGACAATAAAAGCAAGTATCTATTTCTCTAGCATGTTCAAGTTTTGAGGATCCCTGACTTAAGAAAATCAGCTTTACAAAGATTGTGAAAGTCCTTCAAAATTTTAGCTTAGAATTTTTTATTTTTATCTCTACATTCCCAAATAATATGACTTAGTTATTTATGGTTTTACCTCTGGGCATCATATGCTATTCAAGTATAATGTACTCAGTTAAAAGAGAGAAAACACCTTAAAGGAAAATATAAACAAATTATAGGATGATCATTTCCAGCATAGCATTTTAATTGCCATTCTCCATATCTCCAAAGGTTTAGGCTAAAGTTTTCACATTCTAAAAATCTATATTCTAATTGGTAAAATTATGAGTTTAATTTGTTGGCAGAATATAGTCTTTTGAGAAGAGCAGGTTGAAATTCTGAGTCAACTAATGATAATTTCATACTTTTCCACTTGTCTTTTAGACTTAATTATTATCTTAAGCCAGAAGAAGATTTTGAAAGAAGTTGGGCTGTGGCTGTGGACTACATTGCTGCCTTGAGGTTTCCTACGACTCTGATCAAAACACATGACTTCCAGAAAGGCCTGCCTCCACGAATGCTTGTTACAGGGGATGTAGCCCCATTCATCAGCGACTTTACTAAATTTCAGAATACAGTACTCTTTAGTCTAAATAGTCTTAGGGAACTGCATGAATCTACAGGTAAGTGCCTTGTAAACATTACTTTAAATAAAATTATAACAGGTGTACTCTACTTATGACGGAGTTACCTTCTGACAACTCCAGTGCAAGTAGGTTTTGATGAAAATTGAGTACCTTATTACTATTATTTTTTAGTTTTCATTATTACTGCATTTTCTTATTATATTAATAAATACGATCTTTATTTCTCCTTGGAGGGTTGGCAAGGGAATGATTGTTGTTGTTTTTAAGAGCCATCAAGTCAGTTCTAACTCATAGTGACCCTGTATAGAGTTTCCGAGGAGTGGCTGGTGAGTTTGAACTGACAACCATGTGGTTCAAACCAATCTCATGGTCCAGTGTATTATCCTACAGTGCCATACCAGGACTCCATGAGAATGATAACATCAACTAATTACATGCTACAAGTACATGCTACAAATTACTAACAATAAAATGGAAAACAAAATAAAACAGAAAACTGGTCTTAAATGTGGTTGATTGTAACTCCAAGACACCATAAATCAGAATAACTGTATTGTACTAAATAGAAAAATGAAGAAATATTCATTAAATTAGAGCTATATATTGTTACAACATATACTATTAAGAGAAAGTCATGATTTCCTGTGAGTATTTATCTATTCCACACTTTTTCCACTCATGGCATGTTCATTGATTTGGGTGTCCTTATTGTTGTTGTTGTTGTCCTGGTGTGCTGCTGTGGGTTAATGTGCTGGACTGCAAAGTCAGTTTGAACCACAAGGCTGGAAGTTCAAGCTCACCAGCTACTCCTAGGAAACCCTATACAGGGTCGCTATGAGTCGGAACCAACTTGTTGCTAAGTGCCATATAATTGCTTTCCATTCATAGAGGCTCTGTCTGTACAGGGTTTTAGGGGCTTTAAATCTTTGCAAGACCAGAAAGCCTAATCTTTCTTCCAAGGAGTGGCTAATGGACTACAACAATTGACCTTGTGATTGTCACACCAGCACTGAAAACATATGGAATGCTTCACAAATTTGCATGTCAATAAAAATTAGATACTATCTTTTAGTGTCTATTTTCCTCAGAAATCTTATACAGGGTCTCTATGAGTCAGAACCAACTCAGCGGCACTTAATAACAACAAATACTAACAACAAATACAAAGACTAAACAAAGTATCATTTCACTACTCTTTCATCTTTGTTTTTGTTGCTAACTTGCCATTTGTTTGAACCATTCTTTTTTGTTTCTTATGTGAGCTAAAATTGTCTGCTGTTTTCAGGGCATTGTGGGATTGTCTTATTTGTATTTAACTGAAGATTGTATGTTGATGTGTTCTTAGGCTGTCATCAACTGTCTACTGTGGGTGTAGTTATAGAATGAAAATGTTTATACCCTTCTCAGTTCACCATTCATGCATCTCAGTTTAGGATGGGTTTGGCTAATGTTGGTTGCTGGTGTGGTTGATCAGGTGGTATAGGAGTTGGCATTGGTTCTTGCCCAGTGGGTGGGGCTACAAACACAATGGTTGTTACTAAGCTATATAGGGAAGGTTGTTGTCTCCTGTTGGGTGGGAAACAGAAAACCCCTCTCCACTGCCCACCCCAAAGACAATAAAACAAAACAAACAAAGAAACAGTAATGAAAAGAGAAAGTAATAAAGAGAAAAAGAAACAAAAATAGATATCAACCAAAAAAAAAAAAAAAGTATAAGAAGTATAACAACAAAATAAAGACAGGGAAATGAGTTATATAAGAGAAAAAGAAGAGAAAACAGAAGGAAGAAGTAGGAAAACACTTATGAATAGCTAAAAAGAGGAAAGGAACAGGAAAATGGAGCTATAGAAGAGAAAAATAAGAACTGAAACTAAAAGAATAAATTTTTAAAAATACTTAGAAAAACCAGGGAGAGGGAAAACGAAATGGGACAGAAAAAGAGTAGCAATGAAAAATCAAAAAGGAAAGGAACAACTGTCTCTTGGTCTATGTATAGGTTCCTCATGATTACAATTAGGCATTCCAGAATACTCATTCTCCATACTGTTGTCCATAGCTTATCATGATCCACATAATTAGAAACCTTTGTATAGTCAATAAAACACAGGTAAATATCTCACTGGTATTCTCTGCTTTCAGCAAAGATCCCTCTGACATCAGCAATGATATCCCTTGTTACACACACTTGTCTGAATCCAACATGAGCCTCTGACAGTTCCCTGTCAATGGACTATTGCAGCCATTTAAAAATTATCTTTGGCAAAATGTTACTTGCCTGCCACATTATATTGTCTAATGATTTCTGCATTCTGCTGGGTCACCTCTCTTTGGAATGGGCACAAATATGGGTCTCTTCCAGACCAGTTGGTGTGTAAATTTTAATAATTGTGGTGTTAACTGGTCTTCTTTGTAGGTATATGGATATTATCCTATCACAGACAGCATTGTACTTCAGGATAGATCTTAAAACATTCTTTTTTTTACAATGAATGTGACACCATTCCTCTTCACATTGTTATTCCTGGTATAGTAAACCATGTGATTGTCAGATTAAAAATGGCTGATACCAGTCCATTTCAGCTTACTAATGCCTAGAATAGCTATGATTATGCATTCCATTTCATTTTTGGCAACTTCCTATCTTCCTAGTGCCATACTTTAGACATTACACATTCTGATTATTAATGGATGTTTACAACTGTTTCTTCTTCTTCTTCGTCTTCTTCTTCTTCTTCTTCTTCTTCTTCTTCTTCTTCTTCTTCTTCTTCTTCTTCTTCTTCTTCTTCTTCTTCTTCTTCGTCTTCTTCTTCTTCTCATTTTGAGTTGTACTGTATGAGCAAATGAAGATTCTGAAAGCTTTACTGTATTCCCATCATCATAGTCCACTCTACAGGAGGCAGCTCTTCCCCAGTCATATTTTAAGTGCCTTCCATCCTGAGGTGCTTATCATCTGGCACCATATCTGGCAATATTCTGGTGCTCTTCATCATGTTTCAATATTCAATATTCTAATGGTACCTGACAGTGTTCCATTGTTTTTCATAAGGTTTTCAGTGACCAAATATTTGGAATTGTCTGTCTCTCTTTCTTTCTAGTCTGTCTTAGTGTGGGAATTCAGCTGAAACCTCTCAACCATGGGTGACCCAGCTGGTATTTAAAATAGCTTCTGGCATAGTTAGCATCGCTTCCAGAACCACAGCAACACACAAACCATCACAGTACACCAAACTGACAGATGACTGGTTGCTCCTGATTACTGGTTACTGTAAATGCAAAAATGACTAACAAAATCTATTTGAACACAAGAGACTAAGGGTGTAAAATTATGTAGTATACAGTTTAAAATACTGGGAAATAAATGCAGTAATACATACTTGTATTAAATGTGCTGCTAGCATATGTCTAAAACTCAGGATTGATTCCAGGGAGGAGTGAATTTCTGGAAATTTTACTAAAAGGGTAAATATTATTCAGTGAATATTCTAAGGGTGGAATATAAAAGTTACTAAAAATAAAGAGTATAACCAGAAGATGCAAAGAGATGGAAAGAAGTAGATTATTTGTGAGGTATTTGAGAAACAAGATTTGGTGACCATTGATTTATGCAAAGTGATGGAGATTAAGGTGTCAAGATCAATGTCTGATTCTCTAGACTGAGAAATTAAGGGTTGTTGTTGTTAGGTGTCCTCGAGTTGGCAACCCTATGTACAACAAAACAAAACACTGTCTGGTCCTGTGCCATCCTCACATATTATTGTTTTGCCTGAGCCCATTGCAGCTGCCACTGTGCCAATCCATCTCATTGTGGGGGTCTTCCTCTATTTCACTTACCTTCCACTTTACCAAGTATGATGTCATTCTCCAGGAACTGGTCCCATCTAATAACATGTCCTAAGTGCTCCTAAGGAGCATTCAGGGTCTATTTCTTTCAAGACAGATTTGTTTGTTTTTGTGGCAATCCATGGTACTTTCAATATTCTCCAACACCATAATTCATATGCATAAATTCTTCTATCGTCTTCCTTATTCAATGTCCAACTTTTGCATTCATATATCTGAGGCAATTGAAAATATCATGACTTGAGTCAGACACACTTTAGACCTCTATCTTTGCTCTTGAACACTTTAAGAGCTCTTGTTCAACAGATTTGCCTAATGCAACACATTGTTTGATTTCTTTATTTCAGTTTCCATGAGTATTGATTGGGGATACAAGAAAAATGGTCTTCTAATCTCAGTCTTTTCTCCACATATCATAATGTTATTTATATATCCAGGTGTGATGAATTTTTTTTTTTTTTTTACATTGAGGTGCAATCTATACTGATCTTTAAGAGTAATTATTTTAAATCATCTTTACTTCTAGCAAGCAAGGTTTTACCATCTACATATTGAAGGTTATTAATGGGTAATCCTCCAATCCTGATGCCATATTCTTCATATAGTTCAGCTTCTAGTATTATTTGCTCAGAATTGTTGTTGTTGTCAGGTGCCATCGAGTCGGAACCGACTCACAGAGACCTTATGCACAGCAGAACGAAACAATGTCCAATCCTGGACCAACCTCACTACCGCTGCCACACTTGACACCATCAATGATGCCACCTGGCCGATCCATCTCGTTAGGGGTCTTCCTCTTTTTCTCTGACCCTCCACCCTACCCAGCATGACATCCTTCTCCAGAGACTGTTTCCTCTGGACA